TGCTGCCCTGTTGCCGGCTGGAGCCGTACCTGGCCCCGCTGTACTGCCGCATGGAGCCGGTCCTCCCACCTTTCCTGTGCTCGCGTCGACCCGGGAGTCGCCCCGAGCTGCCTTAGCCAGAAACCGCGCCGTTTCCGCCCGCTGCTGCCACGGCTCCCCCCCCCCGCCGCCATGCAATGCCTCCGTGCGCTGTCGGCACCGCCGTGCCCTGCCTGCCTGACCGTGCCCGCTGCTGCCTGCCCGTTCGCGAAAGTGATTCCCGCTGCTGCGACCCCGCCTCCGCCAAACCCAGCAAAAGACAACTTCGGGACCTCTTTGGATACCTGCCAAGTGGACTCGAGCTGCTGTGAATGTTCCGAGCTCCAACCATGACGGAGACGGAAAGGAGGAGAGTGGAGGAGAAGATTCCGTACAAAGAGTATTATGGAAAAGATTGGTTTTCTAACACTCCAGTGTTAGAGCCCTAGTTTAAAGCAACCTGAGTGAGTTTTACTGTGACTTTATGTAAATTGCTAAAGTTGAAAGCTACTTTATGAATGTTAACTTCTTACATACTTTGATGTAAGTTAAACTGTTACACCTATTGTGTTTAAATAAGATGTTTAAAGTTTTCATGCATATCCCAGAAAAATATATAAATATCAGAAAAATTCAGAATTGGCTGTTTATAAATCCTAGCTAATTATATAGTTTCAGAAGCTGGGTGAGATTACTTCAATTTTAAAGAAAAGACGTGACTATTCTCCAATTTCATTTTTCACATTCGGAGAGACAAGGATCTGCTCTCAAATCCCAGGCCATGTGTGACTTAATAATGGAAAAGTAAAAGATGCAAAACTATATTTAATCCAATTATGCAACTAAAATTCTTATCAATATTAGTAATCCCATCCTCTGAAAGATTTCCATATACTGAGATTTTGAACAATCAATTGTTTCTTCCTAATGAAAATTGTTACTTGCTTTTATCGAAGTTACAGTGGTTACCTTATGATAAGAGAGAATTGTTCTACAGTACAACATAAAATGCTGCTCAAAATGATAAAAACAAGTAAAAGAAAATACAGAAATTAGAGACCTAAAAAAGTGAGTTAAAACTAAATGTGATTATTCTAACCAATATTATTTGAGAAGTAGGATTGAAGAATACCCCAGGAAAAGTTTAAAGAACCAAGCCATGGAACCTATCTCCGACAGAGAGAATTACACTGCAAAGAATCATCATTAGGCCTTCAGCTTCAAAGAAAAACTATAAAATTACCTACGATACCCCCTTAAAACTGACTGAACTATTAATAACAAATTTGTGAAGTTTTTTCTTATTAAAGGTGAAGGACAACTAAAAGAAGCAGATGAACAAGGACTGAGAGTTAACTACATCCCAGACATCAGAGACAACTTGGACTGACTTCTCTCAGAAGACACTGAATTTCAAGCTGTATTAGCAGACTGTAATAGTGACTTACCTATTCATTTTTCTAGGTACCGGCTATGAACAAGAATCATGTGTTACTGCCAATCACACATTACTCATGTAACTCAGACATTGGTTTAATTTCTCCACAATTTAGAAAGTTTTGAAAAAACTATAAGGACGAGTAATGTTGTAATTTGCTAATTTTCCACAACTAAAACAATTCTTGCAGGTTGAAGTGCATGTCACACTGCAAACATCCAGCATAAATCTCTAAAGGTTACATTATACTCAGTGTGAGGGAGCATAAACCTCTTTAACAGAATTATTTACAATGTACTGCATGAATTCTAATAACTATTTTATTTTCTTTTAGTGACTACTGCCGTGAAGTTTCTTTTAATATACCTAATATAAATATTCAGAAATTCTTTTTCAGTGTTAACACTGTTGAGCAAATGATTTCATAATATTCCTTCAGTTCAATCAAGATGCAAATTATGAGGTACTATGTAGAGTTGACTGAAAGCCTAAATAATCTGTAGAAATTCTTTTCTTTTCACCTATATATTTTACTTTATGCTTATTAACAATCTGTACTTTTCAGCTGCAACAACTTTTATAGCACAACTATAAGCTGTGATCAGAAGAGTACTACAAGCAATACGTGATGATAAGACAGCTCCGTTTTTTACTACAGTATGACAGAGATCAACAGAACCATTTGGAAATTTATTGATCAGTTGCATTATGCAATTAATACCCATCCTGACCTAGATGAGAACATGAAAGTGAAATTTTTAGACATGTTAGCCTTTAATTTTATCAGAATTGTTAGAAGTTATAGATAGTATATACATACTCTATTACAAAATAGAACTGCTATAGAATTTTGCTATTATCACAAAAGTATTTAGTAAAGAGATTAGTGAGTTAAGAATTTTAAAAACACTTTTGCAAAAGCAGAAATGGGGAGAGAGAAAGGTGTCAGCCCCTTAGTTGACTTGCAAAAGTGTTTTTGGACTTGCAAAAGTGTTTTCATGTGTTAAATTTTTTGCACACAGGTATTCTCTAGCTATCTACATGATGGATGAGACCTTGGAAAAAAGCTGGTTCTTCGGAACGAGGTTGATGTTATTTCTGCAGGTGACTGTGACATCACCAGAAGTTATTGTAGCTAACAGTTGTCTTAACATTATTAGGACACAGTCTATTGAGCACAATTTCTTAGTATTTTTAAGGCACATAATTTAAAAAAAAAAAAAAATTAAAAAGCACATAATTATAGAGGGTAAGAAATTAAGTATAATGTGTTGTGTGACCTTTAGATTACTCACTAGGCATTGACAAAAGAAAGCTTATCTATCTGGTTAGTTTATCTGTTTAGTTAAGAAACTCTAACATTATAAGGTATTAGAAAATTATTATCATTATAAGATACTAGAGAATTATTATAATTTCTTGGTTCGTAGAACGCAGTGACATGGAACTCAAAAGTATATATGTGTGACAGTGTGTATGATGGTGGCCACCATGTGAATGAGAATGAATGAAAGTGTATACATGCATGAGTGTGAATATATGAATACAAATACACAAACACCTTTGGATGAACAAAGACACAAACACCTTTAAATACAATTTTGCTGATACTACTAGCTATTTCATCGATTGTTCCTTGCTTGTTCAAATGTATACAGAACATATTAGCAACAACAATGAATAATATGTTTTTAACATTATCAAAAGAAAACGGGGGAAGTGTGGAAAATATTGCAGAAATAGATTCTATAGCTCTGGTCTCACGCTAAAGCAGAGAAACTATCAGAAGGTCACTGTGTTTGTGAAGCTGCATTGTCTGTGAAAATGCATACGAGACAGAAAGGATAAAGCAACAGGATGGGAAAAGCAGAGAAAGTAGCAAAGTAGCAAATAAGTAACTATAAGCATGAGAAAGAAGCAGCATTTGCGCAAATATAACTTAGGTAATTAGAAGCCAATGATGAGCCTATGCTTGTAATATGTATGAGGTTAATTATTAACCTTTATAAGCACGAAGCCTACAGCAATGAAGTTGGATTAGTCATGATCAATTACTTGGTCGTGTGATACTATTTCCCGTCGTCTTCAACACACACCTTCCTTCTCGGTGTCACATCCCCCGTGTTTAGGATGGCCACCAGCCAGAACTTCTTCCAAGGAGACTGTGCCAGCTTGTGTGGAAGGCCCCGTGCCCTTCCCGCTGCGGCTGCGTCGGCGGCCGAGGGGGCTCCTTGTGCTGCCGTGAGCAGGCACAGGAGGGGAGTGTTTGCTCATTTCTTGAGCCATTCCCACAGTTCAGGTCCAGCCAGATTAGATACTTCAGAGAGCGGATTCCCTCCAAGGTGGGGCAGGTTGGCCGGGCTGGGGGAGGCCCCAGGTCACGGGGCGCTGTGTCACAGGGCTCTTTCTGACACGCTGGGTGTGGCCGGTGGGACGGAAGGGGCCAGGGTGTCCAAGGGCCCTTTATGACCCGTGGTGACAGAGGTGCTGCTGGTGACACGGCCGCAGTGTCAACAGTGCTCCTCGGAGCAGGCGACGGGACAGGACGGGACAGAGCGGAGCTGTGCGGAGCCCCCGCGCAGCCAACTCGTGCCTTGCTGACCCGGAGCTTTTTGGAGGATTTTCTCACTTCCAGGTGCCCTCGAGGCTTTTTCGCGTGACTTGGAGACCCGGAGCTTCTCCGAGGCGTCTCTAACCCCTTTGGCAGGAGCCCTCGAGGCCCTGCTGCAGGACTTGGAGATCCGGAGCTTCTCCGAGCTGTCTCCAATCCCTGTGGCAGGTGCCCTCGAGGTTTTTCTGCAGGACTTGGAGACCCAGAGTTTCTCCAAGGCATCTCCAATCCCTGTGGCAGGTGGCCTCAAGGCCATTCTGTAGAACTTAGTGACCCGGAGCTTCTCTGAGGTGTCTCTCTTGCAGGTGCCCTCGACACCAGACTGTGGCATGGCAGTGAGACGCTTCAGCCTGCTCAGGTTGCTCCGGAGGAAGAAGGAGGAGGAAAGCCCTGGGGCTGCTCCAGCACAGCAGCCTGAAGAGGTGCAGCAGGTGCAGCCCCCGCAGGAGGGTGAGTGCTAGAGCTGGGCCACAGGGCTGGTGGCTGCAGCCCCCTTGGCCTCATCCTGTCCCATCCCCTCTGGACATGCCCAGGGAAAGGGAGGGGGACAGAGGGGCCGGGGCTGATCTCCCGGCAGCCCTGCTCCATCCACTGGGCATCCCGGGGCTGGCCCTGCTCCTGGAGCCCAGGCCTGGGCTGTGTTCTCCGGCCTCTCCCGCACACCCTCAGCTCTGAGCGTGCTCGCTCTTTGCCAGATGCAGGCCAGGAGCAGACAGAAGAGCAGCTCCGTGCCCATGGCCGCTTCCGCAGGGCAGCACAGGTACCTGCAGCCACCCCCTCCTGGGCTGGGCGTGCTGTCACTGCTCAGCCCAGCACCGCTGTCGCAGCCCTCCAGGGGACACTTCTCTCTTCCTTGCCTTCCTCCTGTAGCTGGTTTGCAGATTCATCAGATGCATTTGGCATGAAGAGACCACTTTCATGGCCACTGGGGGCATGGCAAACTCGGACTTCTTCAATGCCCAGACCAGCGCTGCCCTGCTGGATTTGCTTGTGGAAAACGGTGTCTACAACGGGAAGCAAGTAAGCAGCCTGTGGCCAGGGCTCCAGTGCCCCAGGGATGCTGTGGCCCCTCACGCCGGCTGCGCTGGGTCCCATCAGCCTTTGAGACCAGCAGAGTGTGGTGGCAAGGGGAGCACTTCTTGGGGGAAGCTGGGCAAGTTGCTGGCTCTGGCAGCTCTCCAACTGTTCCCCGTGTCCCCTCCAGGTGCCGGCCATAGTCAGGTGCATCCACCAGTGGCTCACATCCAATGTGTCGGCTGAGCACAGGCTGGACAAGACTCTTGTCCTGCTGACCGAGGCACACCCTGTGGATGTTGCAGTGACCCTGCTGCGCTCTGCCCCAGCCTGTGACAGGTATGGGGCCCACCTGCCTTGAGGGCTCCCCTGCCTTTAGACCCCATCCCCCTGCACAGCCTGTCCCAAATGGTGTGCCAGAGAGATGGAGGCTTCCAAGACACTCCAGCTCCTCTCTTTGCCAGCTTTGGCATGTCAGCCCCCAATCCTGAGGCCAGCCTGCCTCCCTGCCCCACAAGGCACCATGCCTCTGTCACCTGGGCCCATCAGATGCCCAGGCCACAGCTCTGTGTCCCAGACCCCCCTGAGCCAGAGTTCTGACTCCACAGAGCTGCTCGCACCATGTGGAGGACGCTCATCTCCTCCAGAGGGACTAAGGAGCCGGTGCTGCAGATCCTCTTCCGTGTGCTGGAATTCTGGCCAGCGCACAGGACACGCACCTCTGATGGGGATGAGAGCGATGTCTTTGCCCTGGCTGTGAGTTTATTGAGCTGGCCTCTGCTCACCCCCAGCTTGCCTCTGGGATGCCTTTTCATCCTCCCTCACCACTGCTTCTCCCTGCCCCAGGCACTGGGCTGCAACCCTGGCTTAGGGGCAAGTTCAGGGCCACCAGGCCGGGGGATCCCCCTGTGTCTCCCCTGGCCTCTCCCTGCCACGCTGGGGCCCTGCCACATGGACATCTGGGCCCTGAGAGCTGTCTCTGGGTGCTTTGTCTTTGGCAGGCAACTGTGGCCCTCTGGGCGATCCTCCAGCTGCCCTGGTGCCCAGGGGGAGTGAAGACCAATTTGCCCCGCCTCCTTCTGACTCTGCTCTTCCAAGTTTTCATCAGCACAGAGGAGATGTCAGAGGAGGTCGAGACCTTCTGGGGGCGATGCCGGCAGCAGCACAGCCTTCCCCCCAACCCCAACAGGTGCTCCATCCCAGTCCTCTCTCCCTGCCAGGCCCTCGGGGCTGGGGCCAGGGCTCTGCGCCTGACCTGGGCTGTGCTCTGCACACAGGTTTGCAGTGCAGACAGTGAAAGCCCTGCTGCGCCAGCTGCTGGATGAGGACGTGGTGATGGTGATCCATCGCAAGTGTGGCTGGGACACGCTCCTCAAGGCTGACACCCACCACTATGCAGTGGGTCTGCTGGCCAGGTGAGAGCCCTTTCTCCCCACTGCCCCTGGCATTTCTGCCCTGTGCACAGGCCACCCCACACAGTGCCCGTGCTGCTGGGCCAGAGGGCCTTGGCAGCCAGGGATGGCTGAGCAGAGTGGCAAAGGTGGAGAGGGGCGGCTGCACAGGAGGAGCCACCTCCCAAAGCGCCCGTGACCCCTCCCGGGCTGGTGGCCAAAGACCAGGCCTGTGTGAGTCAGTCCCAGGAGAGCTTTGCCCACCTGGCTCAGGGTCTCTGGCGCCTTTATTCCCCCTTGCAGGGAGCTGTGCCGTGTCTCCCGCTCCTTCTGCCGCAGCATCGCCGTCAGCCTGCTCCCGCGGCTCAGCAGGGAAGAACCCCTGTGGGAACTGCCTGCCCTGGCGTTCCTGGTGGAGGTGAGCCTGATGGC